TGATCTGGATCTATGGTGGCGCATTTCTTTTCGGAGGAGGCCAGGGAGCCAACTTCCTGGATAACTACCTCTACGATGGTGAGGAGATCGCTGTGAGGGGCAATGTGATCGTGGTGACCATCAATTACCGCGTGGGGCCCCTGGGCTTCCTGAGCACCGGAGATGAAAACTTGCCAGGTACCGTAGCTGCTCCCTCTTCAGGGGACCCTGTCACGGGTCCCCAGCTTACCAGCTTTGCTGTGCCCTTTCTCAATGGTGGGTGCTCTCTGCTGCTCAGGGAACTACGGGCTGAAGGACCAGCACATGGCTATTGCCTGGGTGAAGAGGAATATCAAGGCCTTTGGGGGTGACCCAGAAAACATCACCATCTTTGGGGAATCAGCTGGTGCCGTCAGTGTCTCCCTGCAGGTGAGTTGTCCTTGCCGGACCCCACCAGAGCCACTTCTCTTCTCTGTAAATGGGAGACACGCTCCCCTTGGCACTCCACCACTTTCCTCCCCACACTCCACCTGATTAGCATCCTCTCCTGCCCCGGGATAGCAATGCTCAGCCTCTTTGCTTTGTAGCCGTTCCACCTTCTTCAGTCGAAACAGCCTGACTGCTGCAGGCACGTATCTGAGCATTTGGGACTTCTGGTGAAACAGCATTTACTTGCCATGTCCCCCTACTCTGCTCCTCTTTTCACCAGAGCATGAGAGCTGGCAGCTTCCCTGGGCCTGGTGCACAAGGGGTGAGGCGACTGGCGGGGTCTGGCAGGCGATGGGCTCTGTGGGAGTTTGTACCTGCAACCCTCGTGTTTCTGTTTTGCACCACAGATGCTGAGCCCAAAGAACAAGGGCCTGTTCAAGAGAGCCATCAGCCAGAGCGGTGTCGGTCTCTGCAGCTGGGCCATCCAGGACGACCCGCTGGCCTGGGCTAAAAAGGTAATGGGCAAGTCTTGCTGGAGGGGATGGGAAACAAAAGAAGCAATTCCCTAGAGAAGAGCGTAACTAGCAAGGGATTCTGCAGGAACCGTGCTGACAAACACAGAGCTTTGGAGACATGCTGCTTTGAGGATAAAACCAGCCTGGTAAGGAAGCCTGGCTTCAGAGGGTAATGCTGGGGGGTTTCTCTCTCTCCTCCTGCAGCTTGCAGAAAAGGTGGGCTGCCCCACAGACACCACCGCTGCCTTGGCCAACTGCCTGCGCATCTCCGATCCCAAAGCTGTGACGCTCGCCTACCACCTGGAACTGATCAACCTGCCCAGTAAGTCCCCCAGCCCACGCTGTGGTCCCCTACCCCACACAGCACTCGCCGTCCCTTCAATGGGATGCTGGGGCAATGACCAGGAGCACAGAAGCAGTGCTTGTGTCCTTCAGAAATAGGACAATAACGACAGATCTTGCAGTTGTCCTTCTGCAGGTAGGTGTGCATTGCGCTCCATGAACGCTGCTCATCGTGCAAAGGCAGCGGTGGCAGAGGAATTATCCAAGGGCCTTGGCTCCAAAACAGCTCTTTGGGCTTTCTGTTATGTGAAAGCAGCAAGAGCAATTGTAGAACACAGCTTAGAAACAAAAAAGTATTTGACCACAACCCTGCTAGTTTCATTTGAGTCGCTGGGTGGAGTGTAGGACTCTGACACCATGAAGGGAAAACTGCTGCTTTTGACACCTGTGAGAACTTCTTTCCCAAGAAGACTCTCCTCGTCTTGATCTCCTCATGCTCCTACTAAATAGCCCCAGTATTTAGGCTTGCTCAGGACACAGAGTGGCCAAGCCACCACCGTTGCAGCTGCACTGGCTAGGGCTGGCTCTCCTGGCAATGAGTGAGCATAGCCAGATGAGATGGGGATGAGTTCTGCTCTTCTATACCTTTGCCTGGGCTTTTTGGGAAAGGACTTGGGTGGAGGAGAGGAATTTTTATGTTTCCTGCTAGTACTTAACTGGCAGATCTCTTGCTCTTCTCCTCCACCACACATCTGTCTACTCT